AACTGTTGCTTCTATTCTGATAAATCTCTCTGGAGCATTCAAGACAAAGACTCTTTAACAGACAAGTTCTGCTAATGCTGATGGTTCCCTGATGACAACAAGCTGTTCATGCTAATTAAAAGACAGGCAGTAATCTGGAGGAATTAAGAAGCTCTGTAACTCACAAGGCCTTGGGCCAGTCACTTTACACTCTGGCCTTAGTTTCCTCATCTGTAGAATGAGGAGTCGGAGGGTACTGGAGGAGAGGTTCAAATTGGATGTTTTTTTATTTTTAAATCCTCATTGACCAAAAGAAAGAGGAAATCTCCTGACTCCGGCCAAAAACCAAACACGTTCAGAAACGGTTTGAGTGAGTGGCCATGTCGCCACAGGCACTCACAGTAAGTTTGGTCCCCTACCAGATAGGAAGTTGTGGCTCTTGCTCATATTAGAGCCTGACAAGCTTGGAGGCCACTGAAGATGGTCAGAGCAAAGCCTCCACTCAGAGGAGATGTGTTAAAGACACCCTTCCCAGCCAGAGTGGAAGGAATTACAGAGGCTCTCAGAAAAGGTGGCAGGCTCAGAGTTCTGCACCAACACACTGGAGTTGGGCTGCAGACAGTATGTAGCTATCAAACAAAGCCACTCTCCCTTCCCCCAGTTATACAAGGACTTTTCAAATACACCCCTCTCAGCTGAAAATCTTGAATATTAAACTTCTTGAATCTCCCTACCTGTCATCATTCTAATTCACAAATGTGAACGCCCATGCTTCATGCATTTTACATACATGTGATACACTAATGCCCTCCAGATCTATGTATTGCAGAGGGAACTCAGGTATGGAAGGCAACTGGCTCAACTTCCAAAGATAAACCTGGTAGGTGTGATAGCTGCTGAGAGAGGAGGGCTCTCTGCCTCTTGAGAAATCCCTTTGAATTTGGGTGTGGTGTGAGTCCTTCTGTTCCCAAGTATAGTTTTATCTAATCTGCCTTGAAACTGCTCCGCTGATGAACTGTTTTATCAATAAAAAACTGCTGAACTAAAGCTTCTCCTCTGCAGCTCTTAAAAATGGGGTCTGCCCTGTCAGAAAGCAATGTCATAAGCAAAAGGATATGTATACAAGGACGTACACGAGAGCATTGTTTAAAACTGTGGAATATCAGTAAAAATCCATCAGCAAAGTCGTGGGTACATCCATAATATCATAATGCTAGGGATTTGACTTGTTGCAAAGAAAGTCACTGAGTGACACATAAACTATGATCCCATTCTGGAAAAATCAATAGTAACAAAAATAATGTTAGCAAATGCAGGGAAAAAACGGAGGCACATGTGCCAAAATGTTAACAATGATTATTTAGGGATGGGGGGAAGTGGGATGGAATCTGGGGAGATTTCACTATATGTGTTATATCTGCAACTTTAAATTTTGTATAATGTTGTATTCCTTTTGGGTCAGAAGGAAAGGAAGAAGGAAGGGAGGGAGGGAGGGAGGAGGTAGGAAGGAAGGAACGAAAGAAGGGAGGGAGGGAGGAAAGAAGGAAGGAAGGGAGGGAGGAAGGAAGGGGAAAAGGCAGTGCTAGAAACATTTTTCCATTCCCTGCCTCCCTGTTCTTGACGTTGTACTCTCTCATTAGCCAAAGTAAGGTTTTGATACCCATTTGCGTTCATGGTCAAATGCTTTTTACTCAAGACAGAGACCTTTTCTTTCCACAGCTGCAGATTTTTTCCTACAGCCTGCAATAGCAGCTTATTGCCTCCAATCATTTGTAATGGTTGTGTTCTCAACAGGACATGTTGTACATGTAGGCATTTATATATTAAAATACTTGAGGGCTGCCTGGGTGGCTCAGTCGGTTGAGCGACCGACTTTGGCTCAGGTCATGATCTCACGGTTTGTGAGTTCAAGCCCTGCATTGGGCTCTGTGCTGATAGCTCAGAGCCTGGAGCCTGCTTCTGATTCTCTCTCCCTCTTTCTCTGCCCCTCCCCCACTCATGCTCTGTCTCTCTCTGTCTCAGAAATAAATAAACATAAAAAAAATTTTTGGGGGGGGCGCCAGGGTGGCTCAGTCGGTTAAGCGGCCGACTTCGGCTCAGGTCATGATCTCGTGGTCCATGAGTTCGAGCCCCACGTCGGGCTCTGTGCTGCCAGTTCAGAGCCTGGAGCCTGTGTCAGATTCTGTGTCTCCCTCTCTCTGACCCTCCCCATTCATGCTCTGTCTCTCTCTGTCTCAAAAATAAATAAACGTTAAAAAAAATTAAAAAAATAAAAATAAAAATAAAATTTTTTTAAATACTTGAGGTAGCTCACTGTGATATTTGAGCACTAAATCTGAAATTTATTTATATATTATTTTTGGTTAAATTGATAAATAAATCAGGTTACTTTTCTATTTTAGAGTTTAAATTTTTAAAAAGTACTCAATATGTTAAGATGTTTATTGCAACAGAAAGAATTGAGAATTTCAGTGTTGAGATTAAAATCTCTTATAGACTACCTGTTTAAGTTTAAGGTTTCTATGGTTCTTTAAATTTTAAACATGTCTACCTGCATACAACTAGAAAAGTTGACCCCAAATATTGCCTCAGTTTTCTGGATGTTACTAAGTAGTGTATGTCCTTTTACTTTATGTCTTTAGACCCAGCCTAACAAAACTTGACATATTTTCATAGTTTTTTTTGTCTTGCAATTTATTTCATTCATTCTACTCTATAAACATCTATAATTATCACTGGATTAAAAACAATAGCTCACATTTAATAGGTATTTTCTACTTTCTAGTAGTTAATATCAACTAACATTTCGTTCCCATTTATTACCAGCTGCTCTTTAACTAAGTGTCTTCTTTTAGCCTGGCACTGGGGAGGATACAAAGGTGACCTGGACCCTGAAAATATATGAACAATCCAAACATGGTTCTGTGCTCAAAACGAGATACTAGGTTAAAAGATACTAGGCTCAAAAGCTACTAGGTTATGTAATTCCTAGACTGAATCAAGGAAGCTTCCTGAGGTTGTTGGCATTATATGTGAGTCTTTAATAGGATTTGGTCATCTGGAAATAAAGGAGGAGGGACATTCCAGATGAAGGCAGAAAGGCAGAAATAGGAATGTGCAGGGCTTGTGCTGGTTCCTGGGTCTATTGGGGCTAAAGCACATGGTGCATGAAGGAAAGACACAGGAAAGAAAGCTTAAGGGGCAGATGCAAAGAATGTTCCAATTATAAGGACCAGTGAATCATTTATCCCAACACCTTCATTTTATGGACGAAGGCACTAAGGCAGACAGAGAAGGGAAGTACCCTCAGTTATTCAGTAGTGGGGATGGAATTAGATTTCAAGCTCTCTTGGATCCCACAACTGAGCTTCCAGTTAGGCTGGGACAGATCAAGGAGTGCCTAGAATGCCAGGCTAGAGCCAGGTGGTCACCTCAATGAAGAAGGAGCCACTGAAACCCCCATGGGTGAGTGCGGGTCATTTGTAGGGTTAGGGTGAGAGATAGGGTTAGGTGTAGCAAAGGTGAGGCAGAGACTAAGATAATTTGAAGGCTTCTAGGCTAAGTGACTGGGAAATGGGGAATTATATTTTAATAAATGGCTTCTGTTAACACACAGAATCCAATCTAGAAAAAAAATTAGTTCAATTAAAAACAATTAGTTGTTCTCAAAGTAACAATTTGATTAACGTAACCTCTTTAAAATGTCTTATCTTTAGACACAGATTCTAGATTAAGATTAGGTTAAGGAAGGTTGGAGAAAGTGGGCACAGTCTGTAATGGGTATCAGGTACTCAGTTTGCCTCCTCTGACTCTTTGTTTCTGCCCTTGGGGGAGACAAAGATTCTATTACTTGAGTCCACACCCCCATATACTTTGTATTCTCTTTACATTTGAAGAAGAGATAAAATATTGACTTCTTTTTTAAAAAGTATTTTACTGGTAGTTTATTTTTGTTAACATTTATTTTTAGTTCTACTTTTCTCACAAGCAGCATTTCCCAGAGGTTACTGTTGGCCACAGACAGGTAAAACCTCCCCAATCAGCAGCATGAATCTCATTCCCCTCCCCTGTAGAATTACAGGCCAGAGATGCATCTCACAATAACTGGTGCACTCAAGGGAAGGCAAAGAGTGGAGGTGTCAGATTGTCTGGGTTCCAATCCCAGCTCTGTCAACTAATGAGTCCTGAGGTCTTGGATAACTCATGCAACATTTCTGATTGAACCTGATTCTCACCTGGAAAATGGAGCTAGCTAATGGTAACTCATCCCAGGTTTCTTCTGGTTCTGAGAATTGCTAGACAACGGGCCAATAAAGCTGACTGCAGTGCCAGGTGCATAGTAAGCATCTTGTTCAACCCTAAGCTATATGAATTGTCTCGCCCACACCTCAGGACAGATAAGCTGCTTAGAAAGCAGTAGCATTTCTAAAAGGAGTTGCCGTTCCCAAGTAACTAGTGCCCTTATTTTAGACGTGCTTTAGAACTAAAGATGTTAACACAACCACTTCACAGTTTACTTCTCCTAGGTAAATTGTTTTGAGAGCATTACCAAGAGCCTTAAGATGTATATTTCCACATCTCTGATTTATGTAAAACTATCTGCCCAAAGCAAAACAGACCCTCTCTCTCTCCCCCAGTCTGGCCTGCTTCCCAGCTGTTCACATTCCCTACGGGATTGTTAGACGCTCCACACGCTCTGCAGAAGGAAAGTAAACAGCTCAGCCAGGCAGGCACCCCACCCACCATTTTATTTTCTTAAATCACTCCTTTGGCTAATATTTCAGGGACAGACACGCGACGCATCTGGCTCCAACCAAATATTTTCAGTCAGTCGGATTCCAAGGTAAATATTTGCCACTTCGATTGCAGTTAACAGAGGTAGCGTGAAACAGGCAACCATTTATCAACCTTCAATCAGGGCCGGCTGGTCTCTTGGGTGATCTACTTCCTCCCCGTGAGTCCCTGCGCGGGTCCCCGCCCCCACGCTTCCGGTCTTGCGTACTTGGTGTCTGAGACTTTCTGAGGCCTGTCTAGGAAATTCTCCTCCAAGCGAAGCCTGGTGAAGGGTTTTTACAGGATTGCTGGGCTGCTGGCTTCGCAGAGATCCTTTCATTTTTAGCCAGTGCTGTTTTTCCTTACTCCTCATGACTTGTCTTGTTGAAAGGATGTTGGTTGTGGATGAGAAACACCTGGGAAGGGTTACGGAAGTCTCTCAGACTTGTGATTTGAGGTGGAGGGCCAGGGAGATGTACCCCTGAAGCATTTACCTATTACTTAAATTGCTTCCTTGAGAGGCTCTTAATATTGGCCCAAGGCTTTTGAGCTACAGTGAATAAACATTGCTCAGGGCTTTGTGTCTTATCCTCTCTTTTGCACTTGTGTGAGAATGAACATATTAGCTTTTTCTTATAGATGTACATTTTATGTAGGGAGAATAATAAAGAGAGATGAAAACACAGGAAAGTGGCAGGTGGGGTGGTTTTGTATAAGAAGGAAACTTCCTGCCTCATTCTGTGTCAGGGTTCTTAGCCTTTTTGGAGTCCTTTTGAAACTATGAAGACTAAGGACCTTTTATTTTCCCAGGAAAAGACCTGTGAACACAGTACTTTGCCTATAACCTGAGGAGATTCATGGATCCCTAGAATCTACTCCCATGGAGGGGGGTGGGGCATGGAACCAAGGTTAGGAAACCTTGGATTTTAGGTAGAGCATGCCCTGGGTGCCAGACATTCCTTGTGTTGCCTAGGCTGTACTAGGGTGAAAAAAGTGCGGCACTTGCCTTAGGCATGAAATTTAAGGGGGCATCAAAAAGTTCAGGAATCAGGATACATAATGTTTTAATGCAATATTTTAAATGAATCTGCAAACTATGGCTGTGGCTTGTCAACCTTTTTTTTTTGTAAGCAAAATTTTATTGGAGTCAGGGTCGGGATTAGGACAAGATAGGTGAGGCACTGTTGTACAAATGCACGTTCGGATTCTGTCTTTATTTTAAAGTTTTTATATTTTGTATTTTGTTCATTGACTTTTAATTTTTAAATAGTGCATTAAAATATTGTTTTGAGTATTGAGGTTTTTGACCCCTCCCCTTTAATTCTGCACCTGAAACCAGTGTCTCCTTTGATTACTGTAGCCACCAGCCCTGCTTGTGTCCAGGATGCTGTTCAACTAAAAACCAAATATAAGTGATCACTTGCTGTGTGCTAGGCCCTGGGCTCCCACATTTCCAGACAGCAAGGGTAGTAGGAAAAACTGATCTATCAAGATGGTTGATGTCTATTCCTGGCTCTGCCATGTCCTTCTGCATGACCTATGCCAAGTAACTTAACTTTTCTGAGCCTCTTCTTAACTGCAGAATGAGAAGGTGAGAACGGGTGGTTTCTGGTTCTGGAAGTCTGGTTCTATAACTTTGAAAGAGACAACTAAGCCAAATTGTTCCCTAGAGAACAGAGTCCTCAGTGGGCAACCAATTCCACATCAGCCCTCTAAGGTTCTCTCTTGTTTTTTATTATTTTTTTATTTTTTTTATTTTTAAATGTTTATTTATTTTTGAGAGAGAGAGAGAGAGAGACAGAGCATGAGTGGGGAAGGGGTAGAGAGAGAGAGAGGGAGACACAGAATCCAAAGCAGGCCCCAGGCTCTGAGCTTTCAGCACAGAGCCTGACACAGGGCCCAAACTCACTATCTGTGAGATCATGCCCAGAGCCAAAGTCAGACACTCAACTGACTGAGCCACCCAGGCACCCCATAGGATTCTCTTGATTTGCCTTCTTGATGGGGGGGTTTGGCATTCTACAGACTTTCATTTGTCTCAGTGTGAGGCCCCAGACCATCAAATCTTTTCAACTTGAGTACTGATTGCTAGAGTCAAAGATCTTGAGAGTTGATGAGAGTAAAGTATGGAGAGATGATTTTGTTTAAAGGAAAATGAGGCTCAGACAGGTGAAGTCAGTTGGCCAAGGTGGCACAATGTCAGATTTAGAACGAAAACCTCGGTCCCTGACTGCCATCCGGTTTTCTTTTCATTTCACCATGGTGTGATATGATGCATGCCTTTCTACTTCCCTCCAGAGAATTTCCTAAAAGTACTTTGAATTCTCTCTCATAATAGTCTTTCTAATTCCTGTGTTTATTAATTTCCTTGTTAAGATGCTGCTCCCCAAACAACTAGAATTCACCTACTGCTGGGGATTGGGAGCCAGAATTCTTGATCAGTGTCTTATCCTTAGGTCTTCTTCCCTCTCCCAACCTCATTTTGGATTTAACTTCTATGGGGATTTTTTAAAACTGCTACAAGGCATTTAATCTTAGAAAGCTGACTTCCTCTATGTTTCTTTTGAAAGGTATTTTTAAACATGGAGAGAACAAGCGATGCATAACAATCTGTAAGGTAGGTACCGTTATTCCTATTTTACTACCAAAGAAACTGAGGCACAAAAGGGTAATTAACTTGCTCAAGATCTCCCAGCTTAAAAAAAAAAAAAAAAGAAAGAAAGAAAAGAAAAGGAAAAAAAGGAAAAGATCTCCCAGCTAAATATCAGAACCAGGATTCAAATCCAAGCATCCTGACTCCAGGGTCTGTGCTTTCTCAACTACCACACTGTATGGCCTGTCTTTTGGACCATTTCACCTGAGCTTGAACAATTTCAGTGATGGGGAGCTATCTCAGGAGATCCGAGTTCTCTTGCTGGGCAGCCTCATCTGTTGGAATGTCTTCCTTCTATTTGTTGGTACAAGCCATAGGCAGTTATCCAAAATGGTTTGCTATTGTCTAAATAAGAATAAAGGTAAAAAGGAGAGTGAAGAACACAGAGTAAAATCTATCAATCTGTCCTGCCTCCACCAAACATTTCTGACCCACTCACTTGCAGTTATGTGGGCTTTCTAAACAGGCATAAAGTTCCCTCTTTCAGTTTTGTGTCTATGGCAAGTAAAATCCCCATCCTATGTTTATACCTTGTTCCAAGAAAGATTTAGGTTGGCCCACGTGGATTATAAAACATGATTAAGTAGCATAAATTAAAAGTCTATGACATGATTCAGCAATTTCACTTTTAGGTATTTTTCCTGCAGAAATAGTTACAGGAACTTACCAGGATAAATATTCAAGGGATTTTACTTAAATTTTGTAATTGCACAAAAATTGTAGGCAATTTAGATGTGCATCAATGAGGAGATGGCTAAATAAATAATGTGTTAATGGAGTTGTGAGAGGATTTCAATCTAAAATTGAACTGGAGGAAGGATACCTGGGTGGCTCAGTTGGTCAAGCGTCTAACTTCAGCTCAGGTCATGATCTCATGGTTCGAGCCCTGCATCGGGCTCTGTGCTGACAGCTCAGAGCCTGGAGCCTTCTTTGGATTATGTGTCTCCCTCTCTTTCTGCCCCTCCCCTGCTTGCACTCTGTCTCTCTCTCAAAAATAAACATACATACATACATACATACATACATAAAATTGAAATGGAGCATAAGAAATGGAGACTCTCATGCATCCTTCCTCAGAAGAATAGAATTTAACTGAGAGACTGATTTCTTGTAAATGCCTGATTTACAGAAGATCAAGACTTCTCTCCTGACTAATGAACATCCACCAAGAATCTCTCCCCATCCCCAAGCCAATGAACTTGCTGCTTGGACTCTGGCTGGACTTCCCCCTCTTTGCGCTCCTTGCTCATAAATACAGCCTGCCCCAAACCCTCAAAGGACTCACCTGTAGCTTGCTATAGCATGCTTCTCAAATTGTGGTTTCCTCTGCTATTCCCAAATAAACTCAAATTTCTGATAATTTGAGTTTGCCTCAACTTACTTCCTTGTTTAGGTTAACAGAGTATCTTTTTTTTTTTAATGTTTATTTTATTTTTGAGAGAGAGAGAGAGAGAGAGAGAGAGAGAGAGAGACAGAGTGTGAGCTGGGGAGGGGCAGTGAGAGAGGGAGACACAGAATATCAAACACACTCTAGGCTCTGAGCTGTCAGCACAGAACTCAAAGCAGGGCTTAAACTCAGGAACTGCCAGATCATGACCTGAGCCGAAGTCAGACACTTAACCAACTGAACCACTCAGGCGCTCCAGAAATAATCTTTATCCTAATGAGTGTGAAGTGGTATCTCATTGTGGTTTTGATTTACATTTTCCTAGTGATTAGTGATATTGAGCACCTTTTCTACTGGCCATTAGTATATATTCTTTGGAGAAATAGCTATTCAAGTCATTTGCCCACTTTGTGACTGGGTTATTTTTGTTGAGTTGTAAGAGGTTTTGTATGTTATCAATTCCTTATCAGAGATATGATTTGCAAATATTTTTTCCATTTTGTAGAGAAATGTGCCTTTTCTTTCTATGGATAGTGTCCTTTGATGCACAAAAGTTTTAATTTTGAAGAAGTCTATTTTATCTATTTTTTCTTTTGTTGTTTGTGCTTTTGGTGTCCTATCTAAGAAATCATTAACACTTCATCATTTTGCCTGATAAAGTGTAATTTCCCTAAATCCCTTTTCATTTTACTACCTTTGCCCACCTCCTTTTTTTATTTTTTAAAATAATGGTTACAGTGAAGATATACAACTGCCTGAGATCAAACTGGAAGAGGCAGGGCTTAAATTAGTTAATACATTAATATGGTCCTTAGTGTGGCAGTTATTCTGGGTCACATTTTCTGGATATTCGTTGGACATTGGTTGGATTCAGACCACACATTTTCTCTTTGGCTGCAGCTAATATATTAACTGGCGGTGGGATCAAGTCCTGCTCCTCAGTGGCAGCTGGGCCCTCCCTTGGAGCCTCTCTACAATCCCTTCACTTATTGCTAATTGACTTCCTAATTCCCCACAGCAGCTGTTGTAAGCCTTTTCCACTCTCCTCCATCGCTTTAATCTCCCTACTCTCCACACCGAGAGGCAGGTGATCATGCATCCGTGATCAGGTCTCTTTCCCACTGCCTTTCTGTCCTCTGCCATCTTCACCTGTCTCCCTGGAGCCCTCATCCCCAGGTTCCCCTTTATCTCTCAGAGCCTGACTTTTGCATTTACTCCCTCTCTCCTAGCTTCCATTTTTCCTCTTCTTTTCCCTTCACACATAAACAGACTCCAGTCTTCCTCAACCTATAAGAAACCCAACCGTATTTCTCTTGAAGTTAATCCCATTCTTTTTTCATCACTGGCAAGCCCTTAATTTTTTTTTCTCATCACAAAAGTAACATAGTAGTAGAAAATTGGGAAGTACAAATAATCAAACATGTTTCAGACACCCATAGTCACACTTCTAGAAGTAACCACCAATGTAAACATTTTGGTTTATATCCTTCCAATCTTATTTCTAAGACTTTGAGACTTACTTAGACTTTGAGGGCATTCTGGATGTTCTCTTTTGTAACTTGATATTTTTCCTGTGTCAGTGTTTTTCTAACCATGATTTTTAATCATTGCATTACAATTTCCATTGTATGGATGCTTGGTAATTTATTTAGCCATTTTAAGTCATAATCATAGGATTATTTACAATTATTTGCTATAATTAACATAACAGTACAGCCTTTGTAAATAAATCTTTGCACATAGTCCTGATTATTTTTGTTAGTACAGATTTATGAAGGGAACTTCCTGAATGCATATTTTAAGTATTTGAATACATATTTTATCATAAAATATAAGTGTTTGATAGAGTAGCCAACTATCATCTCTTCCACTTTAAACTCCTGTTTACTGAATTCTAAGCAATCCTGGCTTGTCCACCATCACTAAAGCTGCCCTGTCAGAGGGCAAGTTCAACATCAATTACTAATCACAAGTCTTTTCAGGTCCTGTCCTGCCTCATCTCTTTGCAACAGCTGCCACTTTCAGTCTTTTCCTTTTAAAAATGTTTTTTTCTTTCTATTTTACTTGAGTGCTTCTACCTCCCTGGTAACTCATTTTCAGACTCTTTCCTGGTTCCTTTTGTTCTGCATGATATTTTTCTTATTCTCTACTTACCTCAGATTTTCAACTATTGCATTCATGCCATTGCTACATAGATCTCAACACAAATCTGACCTGAGTTGGGGTCTGCTGGCCTCTCCATCTCACATCACCCCACTCTTCCCTAACTGCTGCCCCCTCTCCCCAGCCCTACATGTACTTTATGTTCCAGTCATTCTGAATTGCTTGCATTTTCTATGCCTCTGATCATGTGATGCTCTGTGCTTGGAGATTCATTTCCCCCTTCCTCACTTGATAAAGCTTTACTTCTCTTTCAAGATTCACCTCCTTCAGGAAGCTCCATGACAGCTTCCACTCCCACTCTTTTATACCTCTTTGCCCCCTGGCCTGGCCAACTAGGGTGACCTTCCTCTATGCTGTCATGTTTGTGCTTCTCTCCTTGTGCTGTGTTATAATGGTTTTTTTCTAGGCTGTAAGCTCCTGGAGGGCAGGAATTGTGACTTTGAGGATTATATTCCCAATGTGTAGCCTGGTGCTTGTCATCTAGTAGAAACTATAGTGAATATCTGCATCCCTTAGGGTGGCTCAGTTGGTTAAGCATCTAACTCTTGATTTTGGCTCAGGTCATGATCTCACAGCCATGACATTGAGCCCATCATCAAGCTCTGTGCTGGGTGTGGAGCCTCTTTGGGATTCTCTCTCTCTCCCTCTCTCTCTTCCCCTCCCCTGCTTATGTGCTTACACACACACACTCTCTCAAAATACATAAACATTAAAAAAAAAATCTTCATCCCATGGTCAAATCATACTCTGATCTTCCTCTGGGGACCTGTCCACTGCCTCAGTCTTGAACCATGGGTTTGAGTGGGACTGACCTAATCCTACCTGAAGGGGTAGGTCTAAACTGGCCACATTACCCAATTACAGCAAACAGGAAATCTTTTTTTTTTTTTAAGAAAAAACTTTAGGTTCTGTGACACCTATTGGAAGAGACACGCTTCTATTCCTCTTCATGATAAAGTGTAAAGACCTAAGGTAGAATTTTTTATCCATTTTGCTAGTGTGAAGGGGTGCCTGGAACTGTCTGAGGGCTGTGTATAGAAGATGAAGTGGCTATCCTGGAAGACAAAGCAGAGATGTAGAGTCAATCAGCATATGCATGTATGTGTGTACTGTTATTATGTTACTTAACAATCACATGTATTATGTGTCATGGGCTGTTCTACGTGCTTTATAAATATTGACTTATTTAATCATCATATCAATTTTATGAAGTAGGTACTATTATTATCCCCATTTAGTGGCAGAGAAAACCAATACACAGAAAGGCTAGATAACTTGCCTGAGGTCACACAGCTCATAAGTGGGGATCTGAAGCTGGGCTTAGTCACCAGTCTTATGCTGTCTCTCATTGTACAGTGGCACCAAAGAGGGGCTTAAAGAGCAGGGCTTTCTCTGAAGTCAAACATCTATTCAG